CGGCCGGATTTGCCGTGCTCCCTTTTTTTTTCGTTTTTTTGGGCGTAAGTTATGCACTTTTCTTTTCTTCTCTTTTATTTTCTTTTCTTCTCTTTTATTTTCTTTTCTTTGTTTTTGCTTTTCGGCAAGTGTTTTCCGACAACAGAACTGCTGGCTTCCTATGGCTAGATGACAAAACACAAAGGGAGAAGGGTGGGGAAGTGCTCATTTGTTCGTAGGCCCCCTTTTGTAACATGACTTAGCCTCTACAGTAAACGGAACAGGGGGGAAGTTCCTTCTGGATTGGAAACTTGATGAATTTGGAAATGTAATGTTTTCGAAGAACACAATGAAGATTAATCTGAAGATGTGTTGGTGTAAAAAGTATGATTTTCTTTTTTTTTGCAATTGAGCAGATGAAAATCGTGGGGATGCATGGCAAGAGAATGAACCTTCTGGATTCGAATTTGATGGATGAGAAAATGTTAACTTTTCAGGAACAACCAAAGAAGATCAATCTGAAGATGTGTTTGGTGTAAGAGGTATGATATCAAAATTGTAGTGACGCAGGGTAAGCAAACATAAAATTGGTGTGCCAGTTTTTCTCTTTTTGCAAAGAACGGATACAAGTGAGGCAGTACAGGAGAACCAACTGACTTTTGAAAGACAAACTAGGGAGCGGTAATTTTCCTGAAATATAAACGAATGCGTGCAGGAGATGAAAACCACTTTCTGAGGTAAACCACTTAATATGCTAAGCCTCTGGAGTGAAGGGCATGGCCAACCAAAAAAGGACATCACCAACCGAAGCAAGAAAAAGTACTTCGCTAGGGTAGGAGGGGAAAAGGGGATGACTGGTGCCGTGAAGAACAGAGAGTTTTACTGTACTCAAGTAAATGCGGAAGATCAAGGAGTAAAGAAGGAAAAAAAAGAAAAGTAATATGGAAAATCATTTTGAAGTTGTGGGCTTGGGCTACTCTGTGTGTGTGTGTGTGTGTGTGTGTGTGTGTAGGTGGGTGGGTGCATGTGTATGTGTTTGTGTTGTCATATTTGCTATACACTCAAAAAAAGCACGACTGTGCCAGACTGTTTCGTTGGACTTTTGCCGACTCGTTAGGAGTGTGTGTGTGTGTGTATGAGCGTGAGCGTGAGTCTGTAGGGGTGTGGGCAACAAACGGACAAAGATAAAAGAGAACATGGACACTATTCAGTTCGATAGATTACTTTGCAAGAGGCTCTCAGCTGCACGTACGAGGGAAGCCACTTTTTTTTCCGAGGGGTGTGGAAGGGAGCCCTGCTTTTTTGTGTGTGGAGGTGTGTAATCTGCAAATCGGCATTCAAACGGTTGGTATACCATGGGAATGTGGTCCCCCCCCTCAAACACCCTGTTATACCTTATGAATGCTCTTCCTCTTCCACCGCGAACAGGTGACACACTCAAACGCGTACAGAGACGAAAACACCCAAATGTATGAACAGACAAACACACAAACACGCACAGAGATATGCAGACAAATACGAACACGCGTGAACACAAACAAGCGTTCCCAAAAACGAACATCAAAGACAACTCAATGGGGGATTCACAATAGCCCACCAATGAAAGAAAAGAACATTATGATATGCAATGTTGAGGGTGAGGGAAGATGGTGGCTGACATCAAAGTCGAGCAGAGTTTGCCAACCATTTTGTCCATTAATCGATGGACACGTTCCCATAACTGTGTGCACACTCCATATCTCGAATCTTCTTTACAACCTATCTTCTCCTCAATGTATGTCCTCCCAACTAATTTGGAAAATCAGCTATCTTGCATAGGAGGTTGGCTCCCAGGTCATCTTGAGTTTCTTGGCAATGAGTGGAATTACTGATATTACCTATCTTTTCCCAAAGACTTTTACCTACCTTTTCCCAAAGACAATGACGGGGGAATCATTTACACTATCCGGGATCAGTTTGGTTAGAAAAATAGCACTCGTGGAGGGAGACTTTAGCAGTTCTCTTGGTATATCAGTTGGTGAGGAGAGGGGTTATATCGTATCATGGATTCAAAGGAACAAGCGTCCTATCAATTGGTGACATTTAGGCCGTTTTGGGTCCAAATATAGCACTTATGGAGGAAGGCTTTAGCAACTGTCTTGGCAGAGCAGCTGTTGTGGAGTGTTATTTCTAGATTTGTGGGGAACAAGCCGTCTGTGAACTGGTGACGTTTACCGATCTTGTCCTTGAGGAGGAGGTAGCTTCGGAAGTAGCTGTGGAAGGATCGTTCGTCTAATTGTGGGTCAATTGGTGCTCAGGATGCAGCTTTTATCTGTTGGAGGCATGGAAAAAATAGAAAATAACTGAAGGAGCTATAATGGTATATATTTTGCATATGGATGAAGAAAATGCTGCAATAGCCATTCCTTTGCATGAGATGTTTTTTTTTTTTTCGTGTGTGTCGTACGGGGTTGTGTGTAACACTCAGAGCCATAACGAATGGAATTTCGAGTGCAGTGCAGTGACGACCTCATTTCTTCTCTGTCTGTGGAGGTGAATTGGTGCTCTTTTTTCTTTTTTTTTCTTTTTAAAATTCGAAAAATGTGGACCGTTTCTCGAGTTACGTGTGTCATCCTTGTGCAGGGGCCTTGTTAATCATGTCTGTATTGTTTCGATTTTAATGGATGTCCCGAAGTACATGAGCGAACCGGATGGAGCCTATTTCGCTTTCTTTTCCCCTTATTTGGAAAGGAAACAGCTCACTACTCTTGTCTTGTTCCGGCGGTTGTAAGTGGTAACCTGTGAGTGTTTTTTTTTTTTTTTTTTTTGGTTTTCTTTCTTTATGGGCGATGGCCTTGTTATATCATGATTCAGCTGACCGCTCCCACGTAATTCAGAATTGTATTTTTTTTGGGTCTGTCTTTTAGTAGTTCATGGGTGTACCAACTGAGCTAGGCCAGTTGGTTGTAACCTGTGAGTGGTATCCTTTTTGTGTATGTTACCACTCGAATACTGCCTTCCCCCGAATAGTATGTTTGTCCATTATAGCTGCACTCTGGGCGACGTGCAGTCTGGACATAGGGATGATGACGATGTGTTCTATTTGCGGGGGGAAGATGGTAGTGATGTAATACCTGAGGAGGGATGGCTTTCAGATATGTGACTTGAAACTTTTTAGGGTTAGCCTCCTGATGAGTTGGTAGAAACCCAACAAAACACTCTGTGACAGCACCCCGCGTCTTGTCCTTTTCTCCCTTTCTGCCCACGGCTCACAGGGCAGTTCTCCATGATGATATACGTGTAAATATGTATGCTTGTTATGTTTCGAATTCGGGAGGGAGGGAGGGGTACAGAGAGGCAGGTGTGTCAGAAGTGTCAGACGTTTTTTTTTTTTTTTTTTCTCATTTCGGAGAGCAGTTTGCTGGTGTGTATGCTGTTTTTTGTACACGATTGTTGATGGTGGCAGAAGCGAATCATGAGCTGGGCCCCACTGTTTTGTGTGCAATAATCCTGAGGTCTCGTCACATGGCAGGCTGGCCATTTATTGATCTCTTCTTTTTTTTGTTTTGTTTTTTGGGAATTTGATCTCATTCTATTGCTTGCCAAAACCAGGGTGTTATATCTATGTCCCCAATTCTGAAGGAAGGACAGCCCTCACAACCTTGGATCTTTGTTGGTCTGCAGCACCTCCTATCGGCAACATTACATTGGCATGGCTGTTGAGTCTGTGTTGATCTGCTGCACAGCTGATTACCATTTTTCAACCGTCTTTTTTTTTTTTTTTTTTTTTTTA